TGGAGGGCCAAGCCCAACTCCCCTTGCCGGGTCAGAAAAGTGTTCGAGTCCGGGTTATAGAGCTCGCACAAAGCGAAGAAATGCTTCGCGCTAACAGGCAAGCCATACATGGTGGCACGAACGGCTGCATACAGACCACAAGCGTGCAACTCCTCGCTCCATCGGCTCAAGATGTACTTCGTCATGCGAGTCCACCAAAGCTTGTCCAAAGAATGGACCCAACCATAAAACCTGTGGCGTGTCGCAGGCATCTCCCGTCCTAAAGCAGCGAGGCGATTCTTCAAAGTAGAAGCAGAGGCAAGAAGCTCGTTACGCGGCGGTGCATCCAACCCTAATACTCCGGGATGCAATCCAGTGATATGACTCCTGCTCGAACCAGGAGCTGCCTGATGAGTGATGTAGTCGCAGTGAACGTTCTCATGCTCCTCCGTCAAGCGCCACGACATCTCCCGTGTCACAGCCTGACGTCTGAGCTCAGTCAACGAACGATGCCGAGGAATCTTCGGCAAATATATGAAACCACTGCCAGTTTTATGAAGCCACTGCTCGGCATCAATAAACACTGAATCCGGATCTCTGGCAGAGTCGCCAAATAAAAAGTAGGTCTTCCTAAAGGCTAGATCGAACTAGTATCCTTTACGAAAGGCGCATCTGTAATTAACTGGCGAAGAGCTCGATGTCCACCTTCCTTCACAACTTGGGCAACCTCTGTCGACGTGCCCGAAGCAAACCGAGGAGTGACTGGGATAGGGGAAAAATCGTCGGAAGTCGAATAATACTCGCCACGACGCCCGTATACTGCATGAGATGAGAACGCTCCAGAAGGATATCCCACTGGAAATAAACAGTTAAACATTTGTTAGTCTCAATTATAAAAGGAAGTTGAACTCATCCTACGAATAGGTAAGATAGAGTCACTGCCTTATAAAGGGTGAGACGATTTGGCCACATTATGCACTTATAAGATAGGGTATATCGACAATATATCCCTGCCTTATAAGGCACAATGTAGCGTCAAAACGCCCCCTTTATATTGAGATATGATTTTGACCAAGCAAAACATATCTTTAAAGCGTCGATCCTCGCCAAGGAGAATCAAGGCTATTCCCGATTGCCTCACCAAGGAGAACAATGGGGATAAAAAGGACCAATTTGTAAATTTCCAAAAAAAATGGACTAATTTGTAAATTTCTAAAAAAAAATAGCTCACCGGCATAAGAGGGAGGCGCGCCATCAGCCGACGTGGTAGAGGATTGGCCCCTCGCAATACGAGACATGGTGACCTGCAAAATAAATTAAGGGATCAGATCCAGAAAAAAAAGTTCCTCTTTTTATTATAATTAAATCCCTCAGAGCTTCAAATTTTACCCCCTGAAAGAGGAGCTCGAGGCGCCAAATCATAATCCTAACCCTCACATGCGATCCCACAAATTTTACCCCCTGAAAGAGGAGCTCGAGGCGCCAAATCATAATCCTAACCCTCACATGCGATCCCACAAATTCATAAATTGATTATGCTAAAATTGTGGAGGATTTACCTGAGGGAAAGCTTGAAGATCCGACAAAGATCCAATCTTGAAAGAGGCTCAGACAACTTGCTCGAGGGGCCTGAGAGAAATTTTTATATGAAGATTTTTGAGAGATTTTTCAGTCTAAGATCCAAAGGAAGACTAGATCTAAGACAATTGTGAAGATTTGAGGGAGAAAGAATGCTCGAGGGAAAAGAAAATCAAAAAATAAGGACAAAGGGGAGGGCGGCCCTAGAGAGGAGGAAAAGAAAGAAAAAAGAACCCTTTTTATAATGTTGAACCAAGCCAAGTTGAACCGGACCAGACCTGGTTTGAACCAAAATTCAAATTAGAGCTGAACCGAATGTCAAAACAACTTCAAATCGCCCGACGGTTCAGTCCATTATTTATTCACTTCTCTCCCCTATGTTCGGAAGGGTCGGAGGATTTTTTAAGCCTAATTACTGCCTTTTTTGGCTCATTATCAAGCCGGTTCAGCTCATTCGGGCACAGAAAATACTCCAATAAGGTATATGAGTATAAATTGTTCCCTCTTTTTGGTTGAGAAGTTCCTGGAGAATATTTTTCTAAATATTCTTAAGGATAACTCAATAACACTACGCCGGACAACGCGTCGCAAATAAAGACTCAACGTCAACATTCAAGAGTCAGTTCTATGTTGAACCAACAAACATGAGCTAAAGATCATAAAATCAGGAATCGACTTCAAATTCGAAATTCCGACAACGGTCAGACAATAAATGCAGCACCGAAAACCTTACAGACATTCGACAAAGCACCGAATAGCCTGAAGGATTGAAGGAATCAAGAATAGAAGCCACTCAAGGATGGGACAATCATATCCAAAGTATTCCAGACTCTTCTATAAAAGAACGAGGCTGAAATACTTTGGAGGGGGTATCTGTAGGCGTATAAAATTGCTTATAGATCCCTTAGCACAGCTCAGCACAAACCGACGAACCAGCAAGGCGACGAGGTTAACGAATCGCACGCAAACAACGGAATAGATCCACTCGCGTGCGGAATCAAGGTAACGGGTTGAAGAGTCAACGAGTCATCCATCCAAGGGCGGACTCGGACGAATCATGATCGAATCAAGATCAGTTTTGGACTCGAACTCAGAATCGGATTTACTACCAAATCAGGTCAACGATTCAAGTCCGGATAAATCAAACCACAGAACTGGATCACAGACTGAACCGAAAATGGAAAACCACGCCTAAGGGGGCTTGGCCAAGGCCGAGCCACCCATGGGTGGCTCGGCCAAGAACCGAGCCACCTATAGGTGGCTTGTGTGCCGGCCCAGATCTGTGCGCGGGCACAGTTCAGAGAGCCTATAAATAGGCCCCCTTGGTTCATTTTTCAGAGGTTGGAACTTTGAGAGCCGAAACTCTGCCGAATTGAGAATTGAGCTTGGAGTTTTGAAGACTTGAGGACTTGAACACTCAGATCTGGTTCTCGGCGAGCATCCACGTCACGAAAGGCAGGAGTTCGAGAGAGAGAGAGATCAGATCTGAGATCTACACGAGATCATACTCCGGATCAAAGCTTGGCCTTTGATCCCGAGAACTAAGGACGATTATTTCCTTGGTGAATTAATCCCCCCCGGCTATTATTTCCTTCGCGAAATAATACCCGTCAAATCGTGTAGATCCGACCGGATCTAGATCGCGCGGTGGTCCACGGATTAACCCCGGCGTTGGCAAAGAACCCACACAAGTGAGCGACCGCAAAACAGGAGCTCGTGATTCGTTCGAAAGGAAAGTTGTAATCTTTTTCGTTTTCTTTGATTTCGTTGTAACCGGATCTAAAAAAAGACCGGATCTTTTGTAACCAAAAAGCAATTACTTGAGATAACAATGAATTCAATGAAGACGATTTTTCCCGCGAACAATACCAACAAATCAATAAGGAACAAACTGAAAGATAGATCCAAACTACGAGAAAGATAGATTTTTACCTCCAACTGAAACCCTAATAAGAGCCTCCAAAAGATCTCACCCCCACATGATGGAAGATAAGATCTACAATAGTAAAAATCCCATATTTATCACCAAATGAAACTCTAGACGAGCTTCCAAAGTAATCTACTCCTCCACCTAATCCCCAAGCATAGCCTGGGCTCTGATACCACTTGTTGGGGTTCCGAGGGCAAACAAAAATGCTAAGAGAGAAGGCCAAACACAATAAAAAAATAATTACACGAACACAAACAACGAATTTTACGTGGTTCGGTAACCTTCCTATGTCCACGGGGCAAGAAGGGGATGAGTTTTTACTAATGGAGAATGAAGAGTACAAATAGAGATTACAAAATCACTCAAATCTCTCAAACAAATCTCTCTAATCTCTCAAACAAAACCCTAAACCAATAGCCCAGAAAAAACTTTCTTTTCTGTGCTCAAAACAATCTTTTCATCTGCTTCACAGAAACCCTAAAACATATTTTTATTTATACCAAACACTAATCCCAAACAGAATAGGAAAACCAAATTTAGGCCTGACCCAACTGGTAGTCGACCGTATAAATCGTCACGGTCGACCGACCAGAAAGGCAGAAACCCAATATCGATTATAGGGTTTGGCGGTCGACCATCACCAAGTCTAGAAAACTCCCTGAGGCTGTGCATATTTTTGATCGACCGCCCCAAAGCTCGCGGTCTACCGGCAAGCACCTAAAGCTCTGCCTACTCCAAAAATCATGTTCTTCTCCAATGTTTTTGCCGTTTCTACAGTCCATTGTTTACTTGCCTTCAACTTTTTCCTCCTCCCTTGATATCTATTTATTTATGAGATAGAGGAAGCATCGCCTACAGATGCGTCTTTTTCTCATTAAGATGGATCTTATAGACTTTAATTGAGAGACATTGTCAGTGACCTTCCATGTTAAAAACTTATTACTATCATGCAGAAGAGTAAATCCGAAGGAAGTATTAGAATTCCTCACCAACTTAGATTATTCTAGAATAACTTTCTAGAACTTCTTTCTAGTAACATCCTACAAAATATCTACCATGAAGTTTCTAGGAAGATACAAGTGTATGGCTATTATTTATTCTTCTAGAAACTTCTTAGTAATGTATGGCTAGGATTAACTCTTCTACACACTTCCTAGTCCTCTTAAACAACTATAAATAGGGGTCTTGTGCTCTCATTTGGGTAAGCAAGCAAGCAAGAAGTGAGCTTGAGAGCTTGAGTGTGTAGTGTAGCCTTGTGTGAGTGTCCACCAAAATAAAGGAGTTGTGTGAAAGTGAGGTGTTCTTGTAAGAACAAGTATTGTATTCTCTATTCTATCAATAAAAGTTTTCTTTGTGTAGAGGGTTGTATTCTTCAAATTTCATCAAAGTGGTATCAGAGCAAGGTTCGATCTAGCCGGGCCAATCGAAGGTGCTCGTGTACGAGATGGTGAATATGATCCAGCCACAGATTCCGAAGCTAATGAAGACCAATTATGACAACTAGAGTATCCAGATGAAATTCTTGCTCGGCTCGCAAGACTTGTGGGAGCTCGTGGAGAATGGCTACACTGAAACAGAGTCACTTGCAGCAGAAGCAACTCTCACCGCCATACAGAAGAGTGAGCTGAAGGAGGTCAGAAAAAGAGACAAAAAAAGCTTTGTTCCTAATATTCTAAGGCGTAGATGAATCAGCGTTTGAGAAGATTTCTAACGCCCTATCTGCTAAAGAAGCATGGGAGATTTTAAAAAAATCCTATCAAGATGCGGAAAGAGCCAAAAAGGTACACTTCCAAGCATTAAGAGTTGAATTTGAAAATTTGAATATGAAAGCTACAGAATCAATATCGGACTATTTTAGTAGAGTTCAGACAATAACTAATCAAATGAAGAGAAATGGAGAAGCAATTAGTGATGTAAGAATTATGGAGAAGATACTTAGGACTTTAGACTCTAAATTCAAATATATTATTCCAGCAATACAAGAGTCTAAAGACCTTTCCGAAGTTTCGATTGATGAGCTGCAAGGTTCTCTGCAAGCTTATGAACAAGATATAAACACTAGTTCAAATCAAGCAGAGAATCTAGAGCAAGCCTTGCAGAGTAAGATGACTATCAAAGAAGATAGTCGAAGAGGACGTGGAGGCTACAGAGGCAGAGGCTCCTTTCGAGGTGGCTCAAACTTCCAACAAGGTCGTAGGAGACAGTACCAAGGAGGTCATGAAAATCAAGATCGAAATGGAGATCGTGAATGATCGTTTGATTGAGGACGAGGTCGTGGCGCACGAGGACGAGGACAAGGAAGAAAATACCAGGAGGACAAATCTCAGCCATAGTGTTACAAGTGCAAGAGATACGGTCATCTCAGCTACGAATGTTGGTAGAAATCAAATCAAGTGGCAGAAAGAAGTAACTTTGTAGAAAGGGAGCAGCCAGACACTTCAACAGTCTTGCTGACGTACCAGAAGAGTGAAAGCAAGAATAAAGATATCTGGTATCTGGATTCAGGTGCCAGTAACCACATGTGCGGCATCAAGGAGTTTTTCACTGAGCTGAACGAGATGGTACAAGGAGATGTCACCTTTGGAGATCAGTCAAAGATTCTAGTGAAAGGCAAGGGCAAGATAATGATCCAGACAAAGATGGGTGAGAATAGGTATATCTCTGACGTCTATTATGTTCCAGCACTACGAAATAATATTTTGAGTCTAGGCCAGCTCCTTGAAAGAGGCTATGATATACATCTAAAAGACCTTACCCTCACTATCAAGAATAAAAATAAAGTAATTGCAAAGGTGAATATGTCTCAAAATAGACTGTTTACCTTAAATATTCATACTGACCCTGTCAAGTGCTTAAAGATGATTATGAAGGATGAGTCTTGGCTCTGGCATTTGAGATTCGGGCATCTCGCATTCAGTGGCCTAAATCTTCTGTGGAAGGAGAAAATGGTGAAAGGATTACCGTAAATCAATCATCCGAACCAGCTATGTGTGTTTTCATCAAAAGTTGATTTTGTTATAGAATTCATTATATCTTTGATCGATTACAACAAATTCAAAATAGATAGTCTTTTTATAAGACTTCTTTTACATAACAAAGTGAAAATTACAACTCTTGAGAAAATAACACAAAAAATCGTCTATCGATTCTTGTTTTGTGGGACTTTGCCTGTTCCGGGAGCGCTTTGACTCGTGGACCACCAAATCACAGATCATGAGGGGTTTAGTGATTCTTCCTTCGTTTATCGAAGTGAGAATTTGAAACGAAGATCTTATCAAAGTAAGATGATCGTTCTTCTTAAGATCAAGTCAAAGCTCGAATCTCAAGGAATCACACAAAGAGTTCAAATTTCACTGTTCTCTCTGTTCTCTCTGCTCTGAATTGCTCAACAAATGCTCGATCCTCGTCAGTAGTAACCCTAGGGGGGTATTTATAGCCTCTGGGGTACATAACTGAAAAAACACACCAAAACAAAGAAATTAGCTGGCGAGACAGTGTTTACTGTCTCGGCGGCCGAGATAGTGTTTGCTGTCTCGGCCTGCGAGACAGTAAATACTGTCTCGGAAAAGGCAACTGTCTGGCAGTTTTTGTTGTAACTGCCTTCCCACGTTTTAAACTCCGTTATTTTGGCAGTTATTTACGTGATTTTCGTCCATGATGTTTTCCATGTTCCTTGGCAGTTAATGGACACGTGTGTAGCAGTTATTCAGGTGGTTTTTGACCATTTCAAAGCTGTCTCACTGGCGAGACAGTAAACATTGTCTCGCTGGCGAGACAGTAAATACTGTCTTGATTTTTCTAAAACAATATGCGATCAACTCTTGTGATTTTTTGAGTGATCTTCTCTATGTTTGGATATCTATTAGCATTTTTTTGACGCCTACAGATACCCCCTCCAAAGTATTCCGGACTCATTCTTTTATAGAGGAGTCTGGGATACTTTGGATAAGATAGATTTTACTTACGATCCCTTCAATGCTTGGTTGAGTAAATCATGTACAAGAATCCATAAAATGGCTTCGGCTTTTGATCTCTTCATCCTTTAGCCTATTCAATTCTTTGTAGAATAGCTAATACTCTTCCGGTACTGCGTTTATCACTCAACCGTTATCGAGATCTTGAATCGAAGCTGGTATCTCTTTGACTTTTGTCACCAAATTGATACTTGTATGTCCCTCGAGAGTTCGTCAGTTTATCCTTAAGAATATTGAGAATAATATTCTCTAGAAACTACCTATCGAATGTAGGAAAACAGTTTAGACTCGTGTACCTATTGGAGTGTCCATGTGTATCAACACACTATGATATCGCCTACTATACTCAAAACCATCGTTGTCGTCTCGTGATACGAGACAGCTTATACTGTCTCACTGTGCACGACAGTAAATGCTGTCTCGCGGTGCAAGACAGTAAATGCTGACTCGCGGTGCGAGACAGTAAATGCTGACTCGCGGTGCGAGACAGTAAATGCTGACTCGCGGTGCGAGATAGTAAATGCTGTCTCGCGGTGCGAGACAGCAAAGTCTGTCTCGCACAGTGAGACAGTAAAGTCTGTCTCGCTCGGCGAAGTCAGGGATTATAAAACCCCGACTTAGGGTTTTTTTGTGGTTTTTCACGTCGGATTTTGGGCGATTTTTAGGCTATTTCTTTGGGATTTTTGACCAGTTCTCTGCCTCTTCTTCTCCTCCTCATTTCTGATTTGTGTGGAGCTCTTGTTTGGAGGGATTTCATTCAAATTCTGTAGGTTTTTCTCCTTTTCCTCTTTCAAAATTTTGATATTCTTCGATGCTTTTCTCATGCATGTGTATTTCCAGTGTATTTGTGATACTTTTTTGTCAATTTCATGCTCAAAATCCTAGCTTTCTCATTGGATTTCACTGTAGATCATATATTCACCATGTCACCGCGTAGATCTCAAGTTCCCCGTGGCCGTTCGACTGTCCCGCCCACTGAGGGGGCTGACCCTGTCACCGCTTCACATGGGGGGTATATCTCTCACCCTTTCACCGATTTAAATACCGTATTTCGTCAATTTTATGTGTATATAACTGTGTTTGTATGCAAATCCTCGCTTGTATCCTTTGAGATACATTCGAGAAGAGCCAGGATCCTCCTTTGAGGGGATCGACGCTTAAAAGTGTTTGTTTTGCTTGGACAAAACACACTTCAGCATATACAGGGGTGATTTTGTATCATCCCACATGTGTTCAAAGGTTTTGACATGCCGTTATAATGCTCGTGCATAGTAACACATATCTCCTTTATACATGCGGTAGATGAAAAATCGTCACACCTGTTATGAGGTAACGATTATATCTTATGGAGTAAGATATACCGCCCTCTCTAAAATTTTAGGACTATTCTTACACAATTTATGTGTATGCCTTTTTTTATCAGTCCATTTTCCTTCTACAATTTTCACTGTCGATGAGGTTACGGGTCAAAGTAGTGTAACCCATGCCTATTATGAGGGGATCCCGTTAATTGAATCAACTCCCCAGTTCAAGTCAGACTACAGTGAAGGGGCTAGAGAGTTGATCCAGCAAGGTAGTTGTCGTATTCTGCGATGATTAATCATGGATACAACCTTAATTTCAGAGCAAGACTCGAATCAATGCATAAGGAAGCCAGATTTTTTGTTTGGTGACTCGGTAAGAGATCCGGAGATTGTTTCTTACAGACTTGC